CCACATCCTTCATAAGTTTGTGACTCCAGAAATGAAAGCAGTACTCCAAGTGGACTCTCACAAGGGTAGACTAGAGGGGAAAATCACCTCCTTCAGCTTGATGGACACAGTTCTTTTGCTGCAGCCCAGGACATGGTTGGCTTTCTGGGCTGTCAGTGTGCAATGCTGAGATCAACCAATATTCCCAAATCCTTCTTGGCAGGGCTTCTGTCAATACATTCTCTGTCCAGTCTATATTTGTGCTTGAGTTTGTCCCAAAATGGGTAAAAGACTTTGCATTTGGTCTTGTTGAACTTCGCAAGGTTTGCATGGGACCCCTTTCCAAGCCTGTCAAGATCCCTCTGGATGGCATTCCTTCCCTCCAGAGGGTGGACTGCCCCACAAGACAAGTTTCTGTTTCAAGGTAAACCTATTGAAGGTGCACTGAAACCCAGTGTCCATGTTGCCAGCAAAGATGTATAACACCACCAGTTCAAACACCAAATCCTGAGAAACAGGAGCACCACTTGTCATTGCTCTCCACTCGAACATTGAGCCATTGGCAGCAACTCTCTGAGTGTAGCTATCCAGCCAATTCCACTAGCCCATCCCTGAAATCTGTTTTTCTCCATTTTAGAGACAAGGATGTTTTGTGAGACAGCATCAAATGCTTTTCACAAATCCAGGCAGATGGTGTCAGTTGCTTTCTCCTTTTCCACCAGTGCCTTGTAGAAGGCCCACGAGTTTGCTAGGCACAATTTGTCATTTGGGAAGCCATTTTGACTGTCACTAAGTACAATCCTTATTTTCCATGTAGCATGATCTTACCCAACATGGTCTGTAGTTCTCTGGCTCTTTCTAGTTTCTCTTTGAAAAATAGGGATTTTTTCCTCTTTTCCAATCAGTGGATACCTTGCTGGTCTCCCAGACACGAGGGACAGGGGCTTAGCCATTTCACCTGCCAGTTCTCTCTGGACCCATGGATTCATCTCATCAGATTCCATGGACCCGTGCATTTCGAGGTTCCTTAGATGGTCTCAAGCCTGATCTGCTAAAGTGGGTTTTTGTCCATTCTCCCAGGTCCTGCATTTGCCTTCTTCAACTCAGGCTGTGTGACTGGCTTTCGGTTTTCAGTATTATTTTGTTCAGTTCACAGTGTGTCTCCTGACAGTTTTGCCTCCCAGGCTTGTGCAAAATCTTCTGAAGACTTGCTATGAAGTTGAAGTTGCCATAACCACAATCATTTTCCATCTGTATCTCATACAATTATTATTTGCAGTATTGAATTCTCTGGAGATAAAATTTAAGTAGAGCTTTTGTAATTTCTTTTCCATCTCAAGCTTTTGTTTTTGTTTCCCACCATCTCTTTAACAATCCTGTTTCCCAGGAGACAGCTTGATATGTCCTCATGCTTCCAAGAGATAGGTTAATAGGTTAATAGGCAGGTGGGAGTTTCCAGATGTTTATGTGCTTGCCCAAAAAGCTGTCCACTGGTAGCAAATGAAGAGCTGGAAAGATACAATCCAAACACAGTCTTTTTTAGCTGATTGACTTATGTCTGGAATGCATGAGAAAAACGGAATTAAAATTAGGAGCAGTTTGGACGGAGCCCTTCATTATCAAATAGTCAATTAGAACTTTTTGTTCAAATTCTGATATAATTCACAAACACTGTACTGACTGAGTCATTACCACCCATAGAAGTGGGAGATAGAAATAATGCATTGCTTCCACACCATCTTTACTTAAGAGATATGTTGAGAATGGGCAATTCAAAGGGGATGGATGGTGCAAATGTTTTGCAATGGAATGTGAAGCCTTCCACCCAGAAGTCATGTTCACATCCAGACCAAACTGCTGATGGCAAGTGAGCAGTTAAGTTGAGCTACTTAGGAGTTCACTATGAAAAATCTTTTTTTTTCCCAGTGAAATAAGTGATTCTGTACACAATCATGAGGTTCAGCAGGGAAAATTGATTGTTCTAAAATTTTGTTCCATCTGGGAAATCAAAATGAAATGAAGAAAAAAAAATCATATTAAAAAAAAACCACCTTTTTTTTCCTATTTTCTTTTCTGTGGAAAAAAACCCCAACACAACATAGCTGCTCCATATGACATTATTTCAAGACTCAGTTGTTTAGGATGCTGTATTCCATAGTGTTAATCTGAGTGTCTAGTGCTGTATTTTCTAAGCAACATTCTCCAGGAAGGAAGAGCCCTTTGGAGGGGTCATATAGAGGCACACTGAAAGTGGTAGCCTTGGAAAAGTAACACCTGAAAGAGGTTCTCATTCCTTTAAACATCACAGTACAAAGTAGAGATCAATTTTGGTTTCAGGGAGGCAGGCAGGATGGTGCAAGAAAGAGTATTTCCTTTCATCCTAATAGATAAGTATTGTTTTATAAAAGTTCTTGTGTTTTTGAAAAAAAAATTATTATTTTAGCTGATGGCTAATGCTGCATATGTGACTTACAGAGCAATCTTGTGGTAAGGAAAGGGAAGACAAAAATTCCCCATGAGCTGTCCTTTTCAAGTTCAGGTTTGAGGCCTGCTATGAACATTAATCTCTACTTTATTTCATTTGGCCACTGCTGGGATGGAACTTCTTACAGTCTCTAAGAAACCAAGCCTTACTTAAAATAAACAAGATATTATTTTTCATAGAGATATTGCTTTTTACCCAACATGTGTGGGATAGATTGCAATTCATGTGCATGATATATGAATGAAAAGGGAAAAAGAAATGCTTCCACAGAGCATACATTTTGTCTCTGGAAAACAGGAGGGTTTTTGGTCCGATCATACGAGATAGTAGCTTTCTTTTCAATTTCAAAGTGTTTTAGCTCATAACAGTGTGTTTGTTATATCAGTAATGATTGGATTCATTCTGAGTACTATTTTGGGGAGTTTGGTACTTCTACCACTTTTGAAACAGCTTTGGAGAGAACTCAGTGGAGGTTTCTCCCTGGTGAGAACTTGCCTCCACACACACACACACACACACAGGATGGGTCTTGGGTGGAAAATACCCACTTTGAGACAAGAGTTGTCTCCTGCTTACTCAGCCTGAATTACAGGCATGGTACTATAGGAGTAGGACATTGCTACCCTGAACTGTCATCATGGCAATCACAATGAGGAGAAAAATATAGCTATCATTATGAGAGCTTTACACTGCATAGTTTATCTCTATAACAGTGTGCTATGATGTGCCTAATTAGACTGTATCAGCTGCTCCACGTCTGCTGCTAAAGGGAGACTTTCTTATTGTATCTAGTAAACAGAGAGCTCTCAGCCTGTGATTTAGCACTGAAATTAAATTTAAGCATAGTTTCCCATTTGATTATCAGGCTATGGGTGACTTTTAAGGATCCTTTCCAATCCATTATTTCTGCTAGCTGTAAACACTTTGCCAGAGGAAGTTTCTTCCTCTTCTTTGGTGGATACAGACTAACTGAAAACTCATCAATTTAAAGTTAGAAGGGAACAAATCAAAATAATTCCAAGTATGCAAACTTTTGATGATGTTCAGTCTCCTTTTTTGACTGTTAGCTTCTGCATCTGAATCTCAGTTATTGAGACATAATAAATGTGATTGATTTGAATAAACAGAAAGTAAGGAGACCTCCAGAAACTAATACAGGACAAGAAATTGTGAAAAATTGTTCTTTTTATTCTTTTTCATGCCATATCATAGCTTCATTGTGAGAGGAGTATGGTGACTTCCACAGGACAATCTTTGATAAAAAAATGTAAATTTATAGAAAAAAATCCTATTTTCTTTAATGCACTAATCTATCAAAAGCATGTAAAAGTGTGTATTTCTTCAGTGATATTCTCTAAGGAAAAAATTTGGAAAAAACTGAACATTGCATAGACAAAATGCTCACAGTGGCAATTAAAAAGAAGTTTACAGTCTACTGTTTACTCACCTGCTACGTACTTTATATATTCTTGGGGAGAGGGTGGGTGGGTCAAGATGAGGTTATGGGACCTCTTTGTTTCTTTGGTAGCCTCTCTGTACTTGTGCTACTCTTGAAAGACATTCTCAGTTTGAGGGACGTGATGCCTGAACCTTGAAAGATATGATACCTCCATTTCAAGGAGCTGGAGACATTCTGTAGTAATTTCAGAGAAAATGTCTTCTGCATAACAAGCATATTTTTTGCTGCAGGAACTGGCAGGTTTTCAGTATACTGCAGTAAGAAGAAATAATTTGATCACATCAGACACACAAATGGAGTAAGATATTGCAACATTTTTACCAGAAGGGAAGCATAGAGGTGGGGAACAAAAACACAGGAGGGTTCTACTTTGACAGGGCTTTAGGCTTTGTAGTTGATAAATTAATCTTTGGAAGAATCAAAGATGTAACCCATTGGTGTATCTCTGAAGTTCAAGTGATCTGTGGGTCAGGGATGTTTTGTAGTGATTGTTTGGGCTTTGGCATGGTTGTGTTTGTAACTGGAAGCCACTGAGTCCTTGCAGCAGCCAGAGTGGGGAGGTGGATTTATGGTGTGATGCAAAAAGAGCAACGAGTTTTTGGTGCAGATCAGGCTAAACAATAGAAATTTTCCTCTGCAGTAGGAAGTTCCAAGTCCTTGTATGCCCTTTGCTTAAAGCACCTGGTAGGAAAGAAAGGTGTGAGACCTTTCAGCATACGGCAGCAAGGGTCTTGTTCCTGCTGGAGCAGGGGTGGGATCTCATGCCCCACCTGGCCATCCTGTGGAACCTTTGAGATCCCTAATCCTGTGCAGCATTCTGTGGCTGAAACATAAGCATGTCTTCAAGGAAAAATAAGCACTCACAGGTACACTGTTGCTCACTTTCCGCCAGGGCTCAGAGGAAGCTTTGATAGCTTCATTTCTTGACTTTTACTACTGACACACTAAGGAGGGAATTTTATGATTGGTTTACTGGGAATGGGATGATTGCCGGAAAGTGGTTTGCTCTATGTCTCAATTTCAGAAGGATCTTCTCTGAAATAGTGCTCTTACAGAGGTTTTTCTTGTTCTTTGCAGGCTGTGCCTTCCTAACATACTGCGAAAGGGAGTCTGCTCTAAAGGCCCAGAGCGCACTGCATGAACAGAAGACACTGCCAGGGGTGAGTCCAGACTGATAACATTTCCTTTTTTTTTTTTTTTTCTTTTCTTTTAAATCTAAGAAACGGGTTACATATGGTGTTCTCATCTCATGTTTGGAAGCAGAGAGTCTCCATTTGTTTGGATGATTCAGTATTTGCATTGTGCTAATAAAACCAAGATACCACCAACCCAACCAAATGGTTCCCATGCACAAAACTAAAAGCTTTTTGCCTTTACTGGGAGTCAGGAAAACAGAAGTCAACTGGTTACGGACTGGATTCTACCAGCCTAACTCAGCTGAGAGCTTCTTTAGGATTCTGACCACTACAGAATGTTAGTTGTCCTCACCAGGTGCTTCCTCTCACTACTTTTCTTCTCTGAAGCAAGGTTTGGCAGCAAGAAATCAAGAAACAGATCACATTATTGAGTTATCACAGAATGAAAACATATTCCTGATGACAAAGTGGTTTGACTCAGTTACTTTAGTATTCAAGCAGCTGTAGCAGATTGGAAAGGCGGTGAGACAAGGAGAAAAGAGAGAGAGAGGAAAGACGCACACAAGATAATGAGGAAAATTATTCACATGAGCAAGATCTAAGGTTCAGACAACACAAGCAGAACTAAAAATAGAATCAGCATTATGTGGGGAAGACCTGCCCTGCTGGGATGGGTTTCTAGCTAAGTGGTTACCCGGGGGAGGGAGAGACTATTTAGATTCAGCCAGAGTGCGTGGATTGGGAGCAGCCAAGTGCTCCTGCAGCTGGAATGAAGCTGGTTTCACAATAACCAGGAGCCAGTGACCACATAACTAAGAGTGGGCTTCTGAGGGCTCCAGGCTGCATCTAAACTGAGAGGAAATCTATCCAAAAGTCTGTCTTTATTAGCTGGTGCTGAATGATTGATTGCTGTGTAGCAATAACCTACCTTTCCACCAGATCTAAGACACATCCCTTGCTCTGTGTTCTGAGGAAAGTGTTGATTCTGCTCCGCTTGTTTCCATCATCCTGGGTCTATTTACCTATCTCTAAGCCACCTTGCCAGTATGGAGATGCCCACGCACTTGCTCATCTACATCTATCTTTGCTTAAAAGGCCATACCTTATGCAAATATATACATACTTCATTGCCTAAAAATATTTCTGTCAGCTGACAACTCCCTCTGAATTATTTTTTTTTCCAGAAACTCCTTAGCAGCAGATTGAAAGTAACTTCAGTCTTGGGAGGGGATTTCAGTTTTTCTTCCTCCTCCCCCTTCCAATATTTTCTTTTTGCTTCTCTCTTTCCTGAATGATAAAACTGGATAGAAAAAAAAAAGAGATCGAGAATATGTTGAATAGGGGTGTTTCAGGTAACATTTTAACTGAAATTTTCTGAAATATGCTTGAAATAAAATACATATTTATCTAAACTAGAGATGTGATGAATAGGGTGTTGTGTATTTAAAAAAGAATAACTGAAATTCCAGATTTTCCACTGAGACTGCTTGCACTTCTCATTAGGAGGAGATCATTCACTTTATGGAACTCTATCTTCTCTGTGAGTTTAAAATCTTATCCTGAAATTGTATGATGATAATGTCTTCAAGAACACAGTGGGTCAGTGAGATTGAGGACTCAGGTGTTGGAGAGGGAGGGCAAGTGATGATTTAGGATTTTTTTTCCCCTAAGTTTCTTATATGTTCACCGTTCTGATTCTCAATCTCTGTGTTAGAGACTTCAAATCACAAAAGTCTTAAAGTCAAAACTGTTTTCTTGGACAGTGGTAGAATTCAACCAGCTTTTGCATTAGGATTGAGACTTCCTTCTAAGGCTGCACCAACTAATTCTAGACTACAGGGAAACAATTTCTTCCTTGGCTCGTGCAATTTCTCTTACATATGTTCCATACTGGCCACACTGCCTCTAGAAGGCTTTTTTTTTTTAAATTTCTTTACACACTTTCAAGAGACACATCAAGATCTCATTGAGCTGAGAGCAGTGAATCCTCTGTCTAAAAGAGCAACCAGGTTTCTTAGAGTTCTGAACACTGATTTTCCCATCCCTTTCATTTCCAGTTCTATTTGTCTCAGGATAAAGGTTTACTTTCCACCAGCAAACCCTCTTCATGCAGCTTTCTGCCAAGTTTCTGAACTCATCCTCTGAATGATGTCACTGTAGTTTATTTAAGGAAACCAGTCTTGTCTCTTGATAAAGTATCATGCCTGGATACTGTTTTATGGTTCCTATCTGAGTAGCAGAGAATTATTTATGACTTACCTGACTGTTCTTGATAACATGCACCAAAAATATCAACCATAGTTCATCACCATAAAATAAGAGGCAATTTTAGGGTCAGAGGTCTAAGTCCTTATTCACATAAGTTCAAAATGAGACATATATAACATCTTCTCTTGACACTCCACTGTCTGTGACACAAACAGCTCGACTGAGGAGGCATCAAAAACAATTAACAGGCATGGTATAGGAAAAAATAAATAGACTAGACTAAGACATTCTTTCCCATTCCCCAGTAAACTGTACATTTACCTGCTCTTGCAATATTGCTGTTTGTATTCTCTGCATTGTAAAACACAGAACTGAGTAATTTTTAATAATATGCACATGAATGGTAATGTATGGAAATGGTGAGGCGTGAGGAGGTTTTGTCCAGATTCAGATGCCTTGCCTCTTAGCTATGTATCACTTTGTTTTTAGTGGAGTGGCTACATGCACATATTTTACAGTAATTACTTTCTGGATGTGCTTTGTACAATGACAGAAATATGTGAAACATATTTCTATGTTATATGTAGGACATAAACTCATCTTGTGGAATAATCAAAAGACTTCCAAGCAGGTATGTGTTGATTAATAAAGTCTTTATGGCACTTTGTTTTTTGGTGGGAAGGAAACATGATACATATTTTGAAGCAACTGGATTGGAATGTAAAACATAAGACTATCATTTGAATCTTCTTCATCTGAAGGAGTAAATTAGGTTATTTTGGAGAGTTTGAAATTGTTTTGCCTAAAATGGAAGGTTAATGTGGCACAGCATGTAAAGAGCACTTTGTGATTGTCGGACAATTCAAATTCTAGTGTTTACTTGTGATTGTTTATTTTACATATAATAGAGTGGCTGGATGATGAAGTATATTAGTTCTTTAATAATTTATAGAAATGCTTTGATGTTGCAGTAATTACATTAAAGGTCACATATCAAAGGTAATTTGGTTGAGCAGCTGTGATGGTTTCTCAGAAGCAATCAATATTGCTGTCCATGGCGCTGATTTCACCAAGGGGACTGCCAGATTAAAGGAGGCTTATTACCAGACAGACAGACACGGGGGAAATCAAGAACAGATTGGAGAGATGCACTATTCTTTTTCCTCACCTATAATTAACACTGTTCACCATAATCTGTGCTAATCCTTCATAGTGGGAAACTACCTTTTTTTTTTCTTTTTTTTTTTAAACTCGCATTATAAAAAGCGAATTAAGGCAAGGGAGAGTAATTTGGGGGAGCAGAAGAGAGAAATTAGAGAAGTTAAAAGTTGGCTCACCCCTGGGATTTCTGATGCTGATATATCCCACAATGATAAAATGCAATATCAAACCACAGGCCATGGTCCTGAGGAAAGCTAGGGGAGTAAAATGATCTAGACAATGACAGTGCAATGTATGGGAGAATTATATCTGCCAGCAGATTTTGTATAAAATTATCTATTTGCCCCACAAAGCTCCACAGGAAATGAAATCGGGGAAATAAAATTATGTTTTAAGTGTAGTCATTTTGATTACAAATTATAGTGAAGCGAACTTTTTCTCCCCTTTCTTTTTTCTTTCTCAAGTGAATGGCAGAGGATAATGCTGAGAAATGTAATTACGCTATCAAGATCTACTTTTATTTATAGCACAAATAAACTGAGCTCTTGTATGATAAGCACAGCAGCATTTTTCTTCCCCTAGTTCTTTGTGGCTCTCTCAGGCAATGGGAGTGAACAGTCCATGTACACTTGGTTGGAGGCACTGTCTCTTTGCATAATGTTAAAACCTTCCTGTAAGACTTGCAAAGAATAACTATGAAATTAAGTATGTACGAAACTGTTAACCTCAGCAATCTGCAGGGCTTGTTCAGTCTGGGAAATAGGCTGGGTTTTCTTACTGTATCTATTCCTCTTGAAAGAGACCAGTGGTACTCCTGGTATGCTAAATTTCTCAGTGCGAAACATAATTAGTTTTCTCCCTAACTGTTCTGATATTCTTTGTCTCTTCTTGCCATCTAGAAAAAAATGCATTCTGTTTTATTCATCATATGCAAAAATATGCCTCTTTAAGACTAGAAGACAGGTGAGCTTATAAAACTCATATTAAACCCATTTTTTAAAGAAACAAAAACTCTCCATCTTATTTCAGGTGCCAACAGTTTGGGGTTTTTTTGTTTGTTTGTTTGTTTGTTTTTGTTTTGTGAGGTTTTGTTTCTTTGTTTTGTTTTGTTGAGGGATTGTTTGTTTTTTTGTTTGTTTTAATATAAAAGGTTTTTCCAACATTACTAGTTTTACCTGACTTAAATTTTTATGTATATGTGAGGAAAGACACCTGAATATAGGGGAGAGGAGTTTTGTTGGGATTTTTGTTTGTTTGTTTGTTTGTTTGTTTTAATAAAAAAGGTTTTTCCAACATTACTGGTCTTACCTCATTTAAATTTTTATGTATATGTGAGGAAAGACACCTGAACATGGAGGAGGGAGGGAGGGTACCTTGCAAGGTCTGGTCTCTCTTAAATCCATGTCATAAGGCTTAAATGAGACATAAGAGTCATGTGGACTTCAGAAGTCCTGCACATATAGCATGGATTTCACTGCTTAAGCAGGCCTTGAAATTTTGCTCTCTTATTGTCTTTTTTTTTTTTTTTAATGTTTCAAAGCTTTTTCCAAAAGCTTGTTAGAAAACCATTAAACCACATATCACCCTGCATGCTGTGTTGTGCCAAAAATGGTATTATATTCCCACAACTTCCCATTTCAAAAGTTTTTCTCTAC